TGGGGTGTTCGTTCGTGGCTCCAAATCGTGTGTGGGTAATGTTCGGTTCGGTTCCTGGGATGGCGTCGCGAGTGTTTTGTGCAACAATTGGTGGTGTGATTTTTGGCAATCATTTATGCCACAACGACGCTTATAGTGGCAATTTTTAAGTTGGTGGCCTCTCTTTAAGCAACAAAAACAAGTTTTAATTTGTTTAATTTTATTCCATCGGTCATCGATGGTCATTTTTAAAAAGTGTGGACAGATTTTTATATTGTTGCACTCTCCCTGACAAATTGGACAGCTCGAACTGACAGCGACATATGCGTATTTTTTTTGTTGTGTTTGTGTGTGTCGGCGATTGGACGAGGTTGCTGAAATTGGCTGTGTGTCGTGGACCATATGTGCGAGACGGCGTAATATTCCCAACCAATCGCTGAAATCAACTATAGTGGCGGGGTGCTGGAGTTGCAGACATTTTTCGGCCCATTGCATTTGGCGGTTTATCGGCAGTTTGGACACTAGCTCACTCAGCAACGATGGATTGGATAGATGGTGTTCACCCTTGGCGTTTTTTAGGAAAGTGGCCATATTGGAGAGTTTGTTGGCAAAGTTGACAAGTGCATCCAAATTATCATCTGCCAGCGGTGGAATGGCTCGGACTTTTTCTACTTGGCTTCGGATAAGTTGCTCTGGTCGACCAAATGTTTCCTGCAGAATTTCCAAAATGGCGCTGACGTTGGCAGAACTCCCCAACATGGATTCCACTGTTTCCCTTGCTCGGCCCTTCAATGCGTCTCTCAAACGCATGATGTTATGGAGATTGGAGTAACCAAATTCGGTTGTGGTGCTCTCGTAGGCTTCGAAAAATGCCTGCCACTCCTCTGGAAGACCTGAAAAAATAGGCAAGGGATAAATTTTTTTATGTGCATTTCCGTTGGAGTTATTTGAAAGTGAATTTGGAAAAGACTCATCTGTGTTGATAGACAATGGCGGCAGTTGATGCACTTGAGTCTGCAACTGTTGACTTGTTGTTGGCGGTACTGTTTGTGGTGGCAAAACTACTGAATGTAATGGCAGATTCAATGGCGGCTGTGGTGGCAGATTCAATGGCGGCTGTGGTGGCAGATTCCTTTGTGGCTGTTGCGGCGTATTCAATGGCGGTTGTTGTGTCGTTTGATTTGAGAAAATTGGTGGTTGTGACGTCAGTGTAGGCAATGCTTGCTGCGACATTGTGTTTTGCAAAGAAGCAAACTGCTGTGACGTACTTAATAGTTGTGCTTGCATTTTTGCTTGTGCTGCTAAAAATTCGTCTTGCATTGCTTTCATCTGACGTTGCATCTGTTCCATTTCAAATTTCATAAGTTTTCTCATCTCGGCTAATTCATTTGCAGGATTTGGTGTTTTGGCTGGTGTATTTGAAGGCGGTTTTTGGAGCTGTAACTGAGAAGAAGAAGAAGAAGATTTAGAAGTATTGGCGGGCGGTGTATTGACGGCTGCGGCTGCAGCTGGCATTTGTTGCTGTTTTTGGTGGCTGCTGGTAGGCGTATCTCCTGTTGGTGAGCGAACGACAGACATATCGTAAGTGTCAGGGTTATATCGGGCTGGCGGAATTCCTTGAGTGCTGCGTCCACTGGTTCTTCTGGTTAGATCTTGGTTTTGTGGCATAAAACCGGCAGAATTTCTTGAATACAGGTAAGAATTATTTTTTTTTGTGACTTAAAGTGGTGACAGCTGTTTTTAAAAAATGTCCGTCCGTTTTAATGAACAGCAACAATAAACACGAATTCAACAAGACAATTGACGACAGAAATTAAATTGACATAAAACAAATAAACAAAGAATAAAGAATAAAGTTGTCCTTTTTTGTTATTTTCCAGGAATAAACCTAAACTCGGCTGGCTCCCAAATGACAAGACTGGCAGGATTTCGGCAAAATAAAAGCTGCGTTTATTTGGTTTGTTTGTTTACAAATAGTGAGTTTAGTTGTCGTTGTTTATTCTCTGTAAGAATTTTAAAAATTTAACAAAAATTAAGTTTACAAAAAAAAAATAAAAATATTTAATTTAAAAACAATAAAAATTAACACGACTTACTTATTTTTGGGTTCTAACAAAAAAGGGAATAAACAATGGCCATAAGGGCCTATTTATATAAAAAGTGACATTAAGCAAAACAACAAAAATAAACAAAATGAAGATGTTGGCTTAAATTTAGTTTCGTCTCCCTCTTCGCTTGGGATATTTCGGCCATTTATAACAGTGGTATTTCAAATTTGGCTACACTTTTTTAGCTTTGGTAATTGCAGGGTTACCATCTCCAACAGCAACCGAAATGAAACCTTTTTCAATCGAAATGAAAGTTTTTGCAAATCAAATGAAACTTTTAGATTTATAGAAGGAAAATACCAAAACATTTTTAATTTTAGTAGGTTCAAAATTATATCAACTAATTTTAACTAATATATGCTTAAAGAGAAATTTTTATTGATTATTAATATCTACATTTTTATATTATTACTTAAATTTTCAATTATTGTAATAACAAATGGTTCGTTATTGATTTGATATAAAATATTTCCATATTATTAAATTTCTAAATGCTCAACGCTAAAAAGATAAATTTAAACAAATTGGTGGCTTTTATAGGTATGGGCAGGAGTGAAATACGAAATTAAGCTTTACCACAATTTTTTATAATTATAGTATACTAATAATCTTACCTAATAAAGGATTCCCGCTTCGCAGCTTTATTGTTTATGAAAGTAGAGCAGTCGTGATTTCAATAGACAGATAAGTGGAAATCATTAAATCAACTATGATCATGATTGCATATACTTTATGGGGTCTACGACGAATATTTAGAGGTGTTACAAACCGAATGACAAATTTAATATATCCTCCTTTCCATGGAGGAGATTATAAAAAGATACCTAATTCGGGTCCTTTAAAAAAAATAAATGGAAGCTTTAAGAAAAAAATTTATAAAAACTTAGAGATTAATAATCAATAAAAATTCCTCTTTAACTATATATTAGTAATAATTAGTTGATTTAATTTTAAACCTACTAAAAATAAAAATGTTTTGTTATTTTTCCTTGTAAAAATCTAAAAGTTTCATTTGATTTGCAAAAAGTTTCATTTGATTTGCAAAAAGTTTCATTTCGGTTGCAAAAGGTTTCATTTCGGTTGCCAAAGGTTTCATTCCCGCTGCAATAGGTTTCATTTCGGTTGCAAAAGGTTTCATTTCCACTGCAAAAGGTTTCAATTCCACTGCAAAAGGTTTCATTTCCGCTGCAAAAAGTTTCATTTGGATTGGAAAAGGTTTCATTTAATCTGAAAATGTTATATATTATTGTTTTAAATTTTTTCTCTAAATGAATATAATTTTCTTTATGTTTAAAAAATCTTTTAATTTTAAAACAAGGCCAACATAATGTTTCACAAGAAGGCTACTTTTACCAACGATTTGACAGTTAGCTTTGATTTTCTTTGTATTTCAAGTCACAATTATGTTATATGACAGCAAAATTATTTGTCAAATGGGCTTACTAGCCTAACTTATATAGGCCATGTTTTGAAAAGCACGTCATACAACTATATGTTTACAATTGTTTCAAAATTAACCATTTGACAACAGTAAAATTTGACATGGTAAATTATAGAAAATGCAGAGATGGATGGATAAAGTCATAAGCCTTTCTTTTAATATGACTTTAATTTATCTTAATATACAGCATTGACTAAAATGTATAGAATTTAAAATCAGAATAACTTGAATTTATTGGAATTATAAACTTGCAGTCAATACTTATCACATTCTTAAATTGCCGACTCCTGAAACACTTATCCCATGAATGCAAAATACCATATGGTAATATATTCCCCTACAAAATAGTTGACAAGTTCTAGATTATGTAACGATTTTACATATTCTTTTATACAATTGTGTGTTTAGATACATCCTTAAGCTGCTATCAGACGATGTGGGTTTTACATACGTAGTGTCAAATTTTTCATATGTAGAAGATGCACACATCATGTGATACATGGACCACATTTCCGTTGTGAAATACATGAGTAAAGTACACTGTAGTCTTTCCACTACAGCGAGAGTTATTTTCATCGGAAACATATAATTTAATCAAAAGTGTTGTTTGTTTATTGTTTAAAAATATATAATATTATTTGTGGTAAAAAGTTATCCATAACGTATTATGATTTTTTAGAAAATACAATAAAATACCAATGAAACCAAATACAAATGAAAAAGTGTGTCGTAGCGAGATGAAAGAGTCACATGTAAATTGGCAGTTTTGATATACAGACGGAAATACACATGGATAATAAAAGTGACGACACTTTATCACATGTCCCTTATTGTCTGATAGCAGCTTTAGCAATATATAAATAACGCTCAGCTGATGTTTGTTTTTGTATATATAGACAAACAGAATGCAAAAAATAGCGAAAAATGTATAAAAAACGCTATATAAAGATAGTTGGTGTTGGGGAATAAGTGTTTAGTCACATTGCAAGGAAAATAATGCACGTTCCAGTGTATTATCTTGAGCAAATACACTCTTGAGTTTTTTTCCGTTACTGTCCCAAGCAAAATGTAAAGAACATTTTTGCGGAAATATTTGCGACTTTGGAGTGTACTAAAATACTTATGCTGTACCCAGCGATGCTTCCCGTTAGTATGTACAGGGTGAGATAAAAATACTGCAACAAAGTCAAACGCCGTAATTTTATTTTTTTTTTTTTAATTTTATCGAATGAAATCAAAAAATGTCGGAAATAGCATCAAATTTTAATATAAGTTTAGATTTGTTCGAATTAGTCACCTTTGGTCACCGCCTTCAAACGGCCAATGAAACCGTCATACGTTGCCCGAATGTTGCTCTGCGGTATTTTGGCCCATTTCCACTTTTTTAGTGCCAACCTTGCTTTCAAAAGTACTCCAGACACAGTAGTCCAACGGATTGGTATCCGGAGATTTTGGTGGCCATTGTGCGCGTGCTGAGTCTTGTTGGAATGTTCAAGGTCTGCGGCCAAAATGTTTGCGTGCCCAATGCTTTAATACGCCTTCCAGAATATTTTCGCGATAATATTCGTTCGATTAATACGAGCGGAGAGCGACCATCGGCTGCTATGGCGGCCCACACCATCACCATGGCCGGCGCTTGAGTTATAGTGGCCAACCGAAGGTGCACATTTTCAGCCGACCTCTTTGGCAAGTAAATATCATCATTTTGTTTGTTTACAAACAAAAGATTTATTCACAAGTGCTCTAACGATAGCTACTTGTGGTTTTCTAGCCAAATATAAAGAAAACTCACTATCACGTTTGAATTCCATCACGAATAACTTTTTTTCTGTAAAATTCTCACCAAAATGCTTTTGTACGCTTGTAAACAATATAATGAGCTGTCACTGGAATAATTCTAAAAGCTGTCGGACGAGTGGCCTAGAAATGACAGCAGTATGAGATTGGTTGCAGTTTTTACATCTCACCCTGTATAACAATCTACTTACTTTTGAAAAAAAAAAAAAAAAACATTTTAAAATTTTCAATGTTTCCAAGTATTGATACATCTATCAGTACTCTTCTACCATGGGCCCATGGTACAATGATATCAAGGTAGGGCTATGATACCATATGATTTTAATTTTTATATTTTCTTGGCTTAATATGTCATCTTTATTTGTATATGTATGTGTTTTCTTTGCAATAACAAAAAAATTGTTCAGAAAATATTCAAAATCGGATGTTTTCAAATGTTTATTTCAACGTATGCATCGACAAAATCTAGAGTTTTTGTAGCGAAATAATCCTTTAGAAATATATAGTACATTATTTTGAAAAGAAGTGTTGACCTTTCATTCAGTTATCGCGGTTTTCAATTATTTATTCTACTAATTCTGACATTACAAGCCAAACAGGTAGACCTCTATACTTGCAATTTTTTCAAAGTTGACCTACCTTCTCTTCATTGTACCATGGGTAGACCTCTATACTTGCATTTTTTTTTCAAAGTTGGTCTACCTTCTCTTCATTGCACCATGCATGGGCCTTAAGCAATAAATCCTGATAATGTGCGTTAATCTAAATAAATTTGTGTATCTGGACGCCAGTTGGAGGACGAACACTGCTCATTTTGACTTATTATATCCCAAATAAAAAATATTTATAGTACTTACATGTTACAGTTTTAGAGCGCCCAATAATACTACTCTGGCTTAAGTGAATATCCGCACACATGTGACGGCATTTCTTCGCCTCTCAACCTAATATGTGTCACTATCACTATCTATTTCTAATAAAAACTCTCCATTTTCTTTATATCTCTTATTTTTAAACTTACCATAGAGTGGCTGCGTATGCGTAAACGAAAGCAATCATACAATCTTGCTAAGCTGCGGGAAATTCTCACCACATAACGGATTATAAAAAACACGATTTGTAAATTTAATAAATAGCTTTTTATTTGTGCCTCTTAACTAGAATTCTTTATTATTTTTTGTTTAAAGATGTTTCTTATTAAGACGTTTACATTGCCTGAGTAGGAAAAACATCATGATTTTAATGGTTATTGGATTGGTCGATAGACGCCAGATTAAATTTTGGATGGAAGTAGGCGTTGTAAACATCTCGGTGAATATCGTACTGCAAATACAGCGAATTATGTTTCTTGAATAAAATTTCAAATTTTATTTGAATTCTTTAAGTAAATTGGTGTATATATTTTCTCTTTTATTAATAATCTATTAATTATATTGTTTGTATAAATGCAATGTAATGCTGTAATAATAAAAAGTCTGCACAATTTGTAATCAAGTGTTGTTTTTTGGTTATTGATTGTTTTTGCATGCATATTTTTGCTACAACAAATTAAAGAAAAACTGTGCTGAAAATGGTGCTTACTGTCTTTAATATAAAATATACTTATATGGTTGGTGTTTAATTAAAATGTTATATTGAAACTTACAAAGAAAATAATTGTAAATCTTGTCGCATTGGTACAACTGTGTTTATTTTTATTTATATTATATTAAGACAAAAATATTATTCACAATCATCTGGATCGCAGCATTCTGTTTTCCTATATCTTAATGTTTTATCTCTTAAAAGGCAATAATTTTCAAAACAATACGGGGATTTCTAGTACATGTTTGTTTGTTTCAGTAATATGAAATTTAAAAATATTGTTTCCTTTTTCAAAAAATTTATTATGTATATGTATTTGACCAACAACAAAAAAAAGCTTGACGATATAACGCGGAGGATTATTGGTATACCTACATAATGCTTAACATCGTTTCAACCATTTTTTGTTCACTAGATTTCTTGTTGCAATAAACTTTGTTTTTTTTGTCATTATTTTCCATTTTCTTTTGGAAAAGTTTTCCCTTACATTCGCTGATTGTTATGGTTTTATCAGTTAAGATAAGATGTATATATATTACTATTATTATTATTATTTTAACCATAAATCGGTGTATAAATCTACATAATTGCAATGCTTTTAAAACTACAAGTCTAATATTTGAATCGTTGTCCTAAGATTGTAACTACCACTGACTCTTTTGCCTTATAATTATAGTCTTGCAAAATAAATGGTAACCGGAAGAAAGAAATTAAGTCTTTAAGTGTTTTAACATAAATGCAATTGTTTTATTTTTTGCACTGTATTTTCGTCCAACACACAAGTAACGTTTACTGTGTAGGATTGGATTGTAGGATTGTAAAAAAGGCTTGAATACTTTAAAATTGATCAACATAATTGCTTTACACTAGAAAATTTTTGGCAACGAAACCGTTCATGAAGCCAAAAAGGTTACTTAAATAATGATATTAAAATTCTTAAGTGAGGTTCATCGTTAAAAATGATGCACAGCATCATATTTAAATAAGTGCAAAGATGTTGAACAAAACACAAAATCAGAATGAAGACTAAACCAATGCGAATTATAAACATTTTATATTCATCACACGATGTCGAGAACATTGGCAAAATTAACCTATTGAAATGTTATATCCATTTGATTCTACTGTATTTCCCATATTTGTAAAAACCACAAACAAATAGATGGACACAGATGGCATGACCCACAAATATTTTAAAATATGTCATTGTTTACATTCTTCAATATTGTTTTCCGTTCACTCTCGCTTTAATTCATTTAGAGTCCACAGGAGATGCAGAATCAAGTTCCTGATGTTGATTGAAATTATTTCTTGAAAAAAAAATTGACAAAGAGAATATATAACAAAAACACTTTTCTTATTGAAAAATAATGGTCCCGAAGAGATACAAATCAAATGAGATCTCTTGAAATTCTTTCAAGGGCACACTATTTTATTTGTAAGGAGATTCGAACCAGTTACAAATTAAGGAAACCGACTCAAAACCATCGTGAAGAATCTATGTTGTTAAAATTCTCATTGATTAAATTACGTTCACTGTGTTCATGGATTTATTCATTGTGGAGTCCTGTTATTTAATAATGAACCGCCTATTTAAAGTTGGCTTATTATTTTCTTTTAACTTGTTCATTTGTTTTAATTGTGCAATATCTCATACCAACATCATTTTAAACATTCTATATTTTAGTACCAATCAATCAACCAAAACATTCCCTAACATGATAATCATACATACATTATCTGCAGTTTTAAGACTGTCATATAGAAATCTCACTCAAATTTAACCTGCATGCTTATATTGTGCAATATTCTGTTAAAATCGGTATCGTCTTTAATAACTCATTTATATTGTGCGCTTCTAAATGACTCACTAAATTTTCAGAGGTACGTAAGAGGTTTATAAAATTTTGTAAGTTTTCCACAATCTCTTTTGTCATTGTATCGGAGGATTTATTAATGAGCTCTGCCAGTTTTTTACCAACTTCATATTTTATGAAGGCATCTTGCAATTGTGTCGCCGATTCCTCCGTCTTGGACGATGACGAACTCAAATAAACCACACAAAGTATACACAGAGCAATCAGTGCTTCATTTTGCATTACCAAGTGCTGAGATGTTAACATATTGATCATCGCTTCAACCGATCCCTCATGGCTAATGAATTTGTCTAAACTGCTGCGATCGTAATCCATGCTGGGAATTTTATCGGCCAATTGTTCAGCTGGCGCATCACCCTTGCGCGGCAAAGCGTAGGCAATTTTACTGAGATAGGCATGCTTAATTAGCCAAGCCATAAGGCGATAGGATTCGCCAGTAACTCCGGCATAATCTGAGCTTTTACTCCAGTGTACCAACTGATCGATGAGTGTGGAATTTTTCAAAAGTTCCAATGCCAGTTTTTCTGAAAGACAAAATTTAGTTATAGAAATATATATGAGGTGTCACAAAAAAAAAAAAAACACTCACCTTGACCATCAACCGTCATTCGTAATGTTCCAAGCAGTTTAAAGACGACCGGTGGTTGGTGTATTTCCAGCATAGGCAATATAGTCTCTACAAGTCCAGCTTGTATAACCGCACTTTTATTTACCTTTGGAATAACCAAATTCCGTAGCGTACTTAGCAAAGCATGCTGGAGTCGTACATCATCCCGTACGCCATTATTTTTGGACAGAACTTCAAGAAGTTTGTTCATAGTCTTGTTTTCGACCATATGAATGCAATGACTATCAGTTCGGGCAAAGTTTCCCAAAGCAAGCACACCGGTGGTCAATAGATCGACATCATCTGAATCTAGCCAATCTTCCATGTTTTTGAGTAACGACGTTGTATACAAGTAATTCATGGATTCGTCTGTAAAATTAAGGAAGAATGGATTAGGACTAACGCTATATAGCATTTGGACATGTAATGCAAAATTAAGTTAACACGAAGCAATTTTAATGAGCTTTCTATTGCGTGCGAACCACTTCGTTCCACTGCTAAACGAAATGTCAATGTCTATTTTTCGTGTCGCTGTTAACCCCATGACAAGGTTGAATGAAATTAATCTGGTGGGAGTGTCATGTGCGATAATAAAAACCTGTAAATTGCGATTCTCTTCGATATCTTTTAAATTCAAAATTTTCGCGTAAAAAAGAATTTAAATCGTAAATGGCAAAAAAAGTTAGAGAATCACACTACAGGAAACTATTTATCGGTGTTGCACAATTCAAAAGTTCATTAAAAAGAAGCGAATCGAGGGAGGCTATTACTGCAAGATCTAGCAAAATTATTATGATTTTAAATTTGAAATTAACAAGTTAAAAATTATCGGTCGATTTTGCCGACAGATATATACCTCAGTTTATGCTCGTTTATTTAAATATATTTTGACATAAATTACGGTTATTCAAGGTATTGAAGTTGTGGTCCAATATTGTCCGTTTCGCATACGACTTAAGTCTCATATAAATATTGCGACATACCAGGTTTGGGATATATCGACTTCTTCCTTCACTTTATTTGAGATTTTATTTGAGTGTGTATATATTTTTATACCCTCCATCTTTCTATGGATGTATTAGCTTTGTCATTCCGTTTGTAACTCCTCGAAAAATGCATAATAGACCCTACAAATATTCTGGATCAGCGTAAAATTCTAAGACGATCTAGCGACGTCCGTCAGTCTGTTGTAATCACGCTATCTTTCGAAAGAATTGAGATAGAAGGCTAAATTTTGCATACATGCATAGTATACCAGCAGGCAGGTTAAGTTCGGACCATGTCGGTCCACGTTTACGTATATCCCCCATATAAAGGTACCTCCCGATGTTCGGAATTTTTATGATTTTAGCAACAATATTTACCGGAATCGTTTCAAATTTCATATTGGAAGAACTTAATGGGTACTACAACCTATTGCGATGTTCAAAGTTTGGACCAAATCGAATGCTTCATTCATCAGCCAGACAGACAGACGGAAGGTCACCGCTAGATCGACTACAAATGTCTTGAAATGTGTGGATCGAGTACAAATGTCTTGCCCCAAGATACCTAGGTTCTAAACCCCTTATTTTGAGGCTGAGGGTATACAAATGGAATTGGTAATTTTCTTTATATTACAAGTGCAGTATGTTAAAACAACTAACAACCCTTTTACGAAGGCATCGAGCAACAGAAACAAATAATAATTCAAATAGAAAACAAAATTCGTTTTTATTTTACTTACCTCCCGTCAAAACAAGAACAATTAATTCACAGGCGAGTTTCATCAGAGCTCGAGCTTCACTAGTGCGGGCCAGAGTTTTATATTTTTCCAACAGCTGATAAATGGTTTCACAGAGTCCATCTTTTGCCAGTAAAACTTTGACGTCATCATTTTCGGCCTGGTAATGTAAAAGTTCAAGGCACATTTCTGCTAAGTCAGGGTTCGTTGAGGCGGCTAAAACTCGGGCTAGTTGTAAGTTTACATTTGGATCGAAATTCAAATCGGCCACGTTCTCGGTTAGTATACTCATCAGTGGCAGAGTATTTAAAAGTAGATCTTCATTTTCCTCAACATTCTCTACACCGATGGCGATTATCTTTGAAATTTTTGTCATGATGTTTAAGTCCATGGCCCGTTTTGAAAAAGTTTCGCCACCAAGCAAGTAATTCGATAACAGACCTCCTCTCACTTTTATGAATTGCAGAGCATTTGTTTTATCCTTTAAGCTTATTATATCAAGTAGTTTGATCAAGACCAAATCTCCCTTAAGGTCCAGTATTATCTCTCGAGCATCGTCATTCAAGTAGCAAATGTTTCCCAAGGCTCTGCAGTTTTGTATGGTCAACTCCATGTTGTCGCATTCATTATTAATATTCCGCAGATAGTCGATGAACGCTTTAATCACTTCCGGTTTGGTAAATTTTTTTCGCTGTTCCTCCGACTTGGTTAGCTCTGCTATACATTTACACGCCTCCTTGCAAACGGTGGCATTATCACATTGGATCAAGGTTAAAAATTCCTCGGATAGTTCATATTTGTCAAAAAGTTTTGGGTCTTTTGTGGCAGCTATCTCACTCAAAATGGTAGTAGCGTTGTCTGGAATATTGGTGGGATTAACGGTGGTGGCTTTAAATTTTTCAATCAGATCGTCAATTTCGCCTGTTGGAGAAACAGAAAAGTGGAATGTTTGCAGATTAATATTTATTTTCGTTAAAGACATTGGTCTCTTCTCTCATTCCCCATATCAATATTTTCGTCTAACTTAACTAAAAGTAGCATTGTTAGATGGATAAGAAGACACCTAATACCTAAACTATAACATTTATATTGGCATTATTAACCAAATGTATAGAAAAACACTTAAAACGATACAATGCTTAATTAACTAAATAACATTTGAGTATGATTTCGAGCGTTCATAAATGCTTACTTTTTAATTTTCTTTCCTTTGCAATTAAACCCTTTATTAATATAATATTTCAAAGAAACCACATAGCATTTCAGCTACTCAGAAACCAAATATTTTAACAGAAATGCTCACTAAAATTATAATAAAAATCGAAATCTAATCTAATTTGCGCTTACTTCTCCAAGATTAAAATGGATATATATCAATTTAAGTTGTAAATATGAAATTTGTAAAACAATTTTTTATCATCATAACTAACCGATGTATTCAACTCGGAAAAGTAAAAATGTTCATTTTTTTATAAGAATTTTGTTTTTACATCCATAACTAATCAATTATAATTTCTTTTTTTACATCATATTGTAGCTACTAGAAAATAATAAATATTATTTATATTATACTCGTTCTCATCATCATAACTAGATATTGTGTGTTGGCAAAACTCTTGGATTTGGCGCGGGAGGTTTAAGCATAGCTGTTAGAACTGGGAGTAATTTAAACAAAAACGGAATATACATCAAGAAGTTTAAATTTGTAAATTTCCTCAATCGATGTTGTAAAAATTAGTTAAACACCACATCTATTGCAATCACAATATCTCGGTACGACACTGGATCAACTCTTGATTTGAAAAAGGCAAATCAAGGAGAGGAGAAGAATGACGTTTCTTAAGACCTAATGCTACAAGAACTCCATAAACAGAATGAGAAACTTTTCCTTTCTGTCCATTTATCCCCCATTGGGAAGAAATCAAGGTTAATATCCAACTTCTAAATATTTTTTTTATTGTTTAAACCACTCGAAATATCTTGGGTGAAGTTAAGAAAATTAGTGTTGGCAGGTCAACCCTTTTGACGACAATCAACGCAATGTAACGACGACATTAATGTAACAATACCTGATCGATAACGTAGGGCCGTTGTCGAAACTCCTCTAGAAGATCTGGCTATTTACACAGACGCTTCCAAGATGGATGAAGTCACCTGCGCTGGCATATTCTGCCCTTAGCCAATTTCAAAGCTCATATGAACTTAATGATAATTATAGTGTTTTTATTTGGAGATTCTTGATATCAAGAAGACAGACGAAATGACAGGACCAGTACAATCAAATCATTTCATTTCATTTCATTTATTTACCTTACAAAGAAATATAAATAAGCCCACAGGGCCCATAACTTATATTATCTATCTACAATACCCTAACATAATACAAATTCAATGATTAATTCAAACTTAACAAATAACATATTAAACCTAATAATTTATCTTAATAATTCACGAGAAGCTCGAACCCTACACCTCGATTCACCATCACCAACTAAACAATAGTCTAGTAGAGCAGTGAAAAAGTATAGCAGAAACGAGCTAAAAATAAGAGAGAACTATTTTGAGAAATCGAGAACCATTCTTGATAGTAGGAAGGTCCTCTTCGAAATACGCAAATTCATTAAGTTTTGTTGGATCCCAGGCTATAGATTATAATAGAGAATGAAATGACTGATGAGTTAGCTCGAGGTGGTTTCCAGTCCATTGATCTATCGATTGTTGAGACTGTCAAACCACAAATGCTCTTATGGAAGAAGCTGGCACTTGGCAACCGGTTGCGGTCATAGAACCAGTTACCTTCTATTAAGGATAAGGAAGTTGTAGAGACGACTGAACACCTACAATGCAGGTTTCCCATGTTATCAAACAGGAGATATAGGCAATACGGTATATGGGAAATTGAAGCGATGACGCTTTTCTCAGAACGCTAAAGCATTTCCTGGCTAAGCACACCACCCTACTATCAACACACCTTCTTTATTTTCGATTATTATTCCTAGGATGAATACAATGGGACAAAAGTCTCCGAGTGAAGCAGCTCCCAACACGAATTAGATGCTCATCCTTAAACCAAACCCGCCAAGGAAGATAGGACATAAACCCTGCAAATGTCCTGTGTCATCTAAGTATGTAATAAAAAGCATTGACACCTCGGTAGATAGGAAATATAATAATGGAGGCTTTCAGGGTTCTGTAACACATGTAGTTTCACTTCTTTCAACTCGCCTACAAATTTCAAATTTATTTATTTAAATTTTCGAAAGTAAAGGAGAAAAATGAGGTTCCCCCATCATACAACACACAAAAAGTGTTTATGTATATGTCAACCAGCACTCAATCCCCATATTCTTTAACTTTCCCTAGCTACAATATTTTTGTAAATATGTAAACGTACAATATCATTAGCGAGGATAATAAAGTTACGTACCTACTGGTACAACGTTATTATGCAAGTAATGAACATTCGGCAATAATTGTGAAAACCTCATTTCCACAAAATGTACTTTGAACTAGTTATTTTTTCGTTCTGCATGCACGTGTTGATGCAAAGTTTGCTGCGAGGATGTTCAAACTGGCACAGAGTGGTATAAATATTTGTAACTAGTTTGCTATTTTTTTATTAACAACCGGCGTCATCACACCGTCTCAAATGCAATAACTTTGTTTTAATGAAATGAAAAAATAAAAACGAATTTAAAGACAGTACCTAAACTGGAAATAGGAATAGAAGTTTATGTTGAGAAGCCTGCTGAAGAGTATCTAAAGGATATTTATTCGAAAATATATTTAAGAAAAAAAACGATTATTATGCCCATTATTAAATACAAAAATTTTAAGCCACAGTCTTAGGAATCCCAACATTACCCCACTGATTCAATTTTCTTTTAATTATACCCTACACCACATAGTGGTAAGGGTATTATGTCTTTGTGAATTTGTTTGTAACATGGAGAAGGAAACGAGATAGACTCATAATTCGGTTCAGATATAGCTATAGTTCCCATATATATGTTTTAGGTTTCTTCTGAATCAAATGGCTAATATCAGTCCAAATGGTGTGAATTTTGGAACTTCCGACCGAATTTAGTATAGAAATAAGTACTTTAAAATCGGTTCAGATATAGCTATAGCTCCCATATATATGTTTCATCCGATTTGGTGTTTAAGTCCCTCACATAGGGTAATATGCACTGCACAAGACTGATATTTAGCACCAAATATCAGATACAGCCTAGCAATTCATGATTCAAATTTTATCAAGGTCGATATAGCTCCAATATATATCTTCATCCGATTTTAGGTTTCTTGTTCACCAAATGGCTAATATCAGTCCAAATGTTGTGAATTTTGGCACTTCAGACCGAATTTATTATAGAAATAAGTACTTTAAATTTGGTGCAAATCGGCTCATATGTAGCTACAGCTCCCATATATATAATTCATCCGATTTGGTGTTTAAGTAACTCGAATTCGTAAAATGCACGAAACAAGAATAATACTTGGTACCTGATAGCAGATACAACCAGATTTGGATATCGATCCAATATATATCATTATCCGATTTCAGGTTTTTTTGTGCACCAAATGGCTTTCATTAGCCCAAATGGAGAGAATATTCCCAATTCAACCGAGTTTAGCATACAAGCAAGAATTTCTCCCATATATATGTTTCATCCGATTTGGTGTTTAAATCTCCAACTGTCGGAATATGCACTCTACTCAACAATTGCAATATAAACCTTTCTTTTACGAGAGCTCTACTAAATATGCATAGTTGTGTAGGGTATCATATATTCGGCCCCGCCCGACTTTTGAGCTTTCCTGGTGCAAGTACTTTTATCCTCTAATAATAATTTTTGAAGAAAACAACATATCTTTACAACATTTTTCTTCTTATGAATATTCATAGTCCTAGTGATAGACGGCTGAGCAGCATAAACATTATGTTATCGTTCCGGCTATGAGTTTTTAATAAAAATAGTGTTTGATATAATAACAAAGGAAATTACTTTCTCCTCGGAAATATTATATTTAACAATTTGAATATTGATAACGTCGAATGTCAAATTACCGACACATTGGTTGGAAACTGTTGATTAACCAAATACTTTAAATCGGTATATACCATTTTTATTCGCTTTGCAGGAGATAAATTAAAAACTAAAACTTTGATGTACAGGAAGGTATTGGCACTAGTTCTCGTTTGTATTTTGTTTTTCAATAATTAGACAATATTATTGAGTCAAATGTATTAAAAATTACAAATTTATTTCTTGCAATATAGTTAGGCTTAATCCCATTATAGTTCTTTTTATAAAAACAACGTTTGTTGTTATGTTAGTTCGTTCAGACAAACGAAAGCATAACAAGTGGAGAGAGATGAAAGTGTTTATAAATGTGGTTGTAAGATTTAGAAGATTTTCCGAAAGTATTTTAGTTTAATGTAATTCTTTTGTTCCTTTTCTATTGATCTTACGATCTCGTGACTTGGGCAAAAAAAAGTTGTCATAGGAGCTATTTAAAAATAAATTCTGGGGGGAATATCCAAGACAAAAAGCATGGGAACTGATGCCTACACTGTTTAATTACTAATTTATTTATGGTATGTACAAATTTATAGTAAGACTAAAGTACTGTTTGTTTTGTGCATTAATAAACTGCAATATTGAGTCATGTTAAAATTTGTGTAGGCTACGAATGCCTGGTAAGTAGCTCTAAACCCCTCGCAAAGGATTACAAACTTATTGCGATGAGGGGGGTTCATGTGACAACTTTCTCCGGCAAATCAAAAATAGTAATCTAATGCCTCTCAGAGATACGACCTTTTAAAGCCGAGGTGATGGATGAAATCTGCGCACAATGTTTCAAACGTTTAAGGATCATTTGTGGAAACAGAAATGAATAAAAATACAGCATTCGGT